TAACCGGGTGCACTAGCCATACGCCAAAAGCATTTGTTTGTTTTATTTTTTTCGGAACTTGTATTTCTAGAATTTCATCGTTTATTCAACTGCTTACTATTATCGTTTCGCTTACTTTACATATAAGCAGAATAATATGAAGATGCACTCCAGTTAAGAACTTTCGCGCCACCCTTTTCCACGTGAGCGAACAAAAGAGAATAAAATAAACTTTGGGCAACCTAGAAAAGTTCAAAGAGAGGAACCTTGACAGGTTATTGACTCAGCCACGTTGCTCGTTTAATTCTAAATTAAATTTTCTATAGATATTCATCTATGATATTTCAAAATTTCTCTTTAAACTGTTCTCGGTCGTTTCATTTACCAACGAATTTCGCCATTCATTTTTTAATGTTCATTTTCGGCATGATAAGAGGTAAAGAGTGAAAACCAATATTTCTATGCATTTTTTATAACTTTGAAATTTATTTGAATATACACATTTGTTTGCGCATTACGTCCATACAAACATTTAGGGTTCGGTTGGACGGAAGACCTTGCTGTTCCGCTTGTTTGTCAAGAACGGTTTGTGAGGGGCGGCAACTTTTTCCCCACCACCGAGTAATCAATTCATTTTCGCTGACTGCAATACCGGCTGGAACGATGATCATGACCCGGGCGGCTACGCGAAATCTGTAACATCGACAGAGGCGATGATCACGAAATCCTACTCCCGGACTCGCCGCTACGATTTAGCGTCATGCTTTTGGTATCGCCTAAAACCGGAGCGTTGTACATCTCCCCACTGATCTCTGAGCTAAGCATATGAAATACACTTCTATGTACGTCTGAATTCGTTGCCGCAGTGTACCAACCGGCACTGGCCCGCACGTGACACACTACTGGACACATCAAAATAAATAAGAATTTTCTACTAGCATTGAACGCTACCAATTTAAAAGGAAACGTTGTTCAGATTACAGTAAGATGAGTCGCCGTAAGAGAGCAAAGGTTTGTGTTAATGAATGTTTAAAGTGTAATGTCTCTGGTAACTGCCCGGCCTCTTTTCTTTAGATAATGTCTTGTTCATTCCATTCAAAATATATATATATTAAATTATGTAGTTCTCCTTTTTTGTTTTCGGCAATATTTTATTGTACTTTGTGTAACTTATGAATGGTTCAAACCGTTTAAAATATATGGAGATATAAAAGGATAATACTACAAGTAAGGTTATGTCCAATACATTGCCTTGCATACATTAGGTCTGTTCTCGTTACCTACACTTTATGCATTTTCCAAAAAGTGACATTTTTTATTAGATATTTTTTTGATAACCAATGAGAATTTACACTTTTTAAAAAGTGCAGAAAGTGTTGGTAACGAGAACAGACCTAATAGGCATTGGTGTTTTATTTTAATATACAAGTTTTTTTTGGGTTGGTATTCTGCTTGAAATCTTCTAATGAAATATTTTTAGGTCGAATATAGAGAGATGGAAGAGAAGTATAATCCACTTGAAGATGAAAATGCTTCTGATAATTCTGAAAAGTCTAAAACAGGGATGGGTACCCCTGAAAAGAAAATATTTGTTGATTTAAAAAAGGAATCTGAGATTTCATTACCTGCTCCCATTTCTACTACAAAAAATGAAACAAAAGAGGAAGATGAACAAGACAGCGACCATGAAGATCCTCATGGTATAACATTTAATCGAAGGGAATTTCATTTTTTTTATCTTGTTTCTACTTTAACATCATTTTCTATGAATCACATTCCATAATTTTAGTAAAAGAACTTCCTAATGGATTAGAAGGAGCTGCTTTTCAAAGTCGATTACCATTTGATAAATTGACATCTACAGAAGCAGCTTGCTTTCCTGATGTATCTAGTGGGCTACCACAAACCCAAAAAGTTTTTCTACACATTAGGAACAGGCTTGTAATTATCCCTTATTAAATTAAATGTCATACATATTTTAGATCTTATTTTCTTTTAACCCATTTTAGTTACAACTTTGGCTTGAAAATCCAAAGCAACAGTTGATTGTAGAGAATGCTTTACCATCAATTGAGCCACCTTATAATAGTGATAATATACTGGCTCGTAGAGTTCATGCTTTCCTGGAACGTCATGGCTTTATTAATTTTGGGGTATTCAAGCGACTCAAGGTGAGGTTCAATAAAAACGATCTCTCATTCATTTAAGATTATAATTATATAAAAATTTATTTTATTAATTTTGTTTTTCAGCCAATACCCACTAAAAAATTAGGTAAAGTAATCGTAATAGGTGCAGGGATAGCAGGATTGGCAGCAGCACAGCAGATGCAACAATTTGGATTGGAAGTCATTGTCTTAGAAGCACGAGTAAGTTTCAAAATTTTTAAAAATAATATGAGTGTAAATAACAGATGAATTATCATTTAAAAGGATCGAGTAGGTGGACGAATAGCAACTTTCCGTAAATCTTCATATATTGCCGATTTGGGTGCTATGGTTGTCACTGGTCTTGGAGGGAATCCTGTAACAACATTGAGTAAGCAGATCAACATGGAACTGCATAAAATTCGACAAAAATGTCCATTGTATGAAAGTGACGGGCAGACGGTTAGTTATTGAATATTTCCAGACAAGGATAAAAGAATATACATTAGAATTTCAATGGTAATTTGTTTGTAATTAAGATAATAAGAAAGATTCGTTTTTGTTTACATGTTCTAGGTTCCTAAAGATAAGGATGAGATGGTTGAGCGAGAGTTTAATAGATTATTGGAAGCAACATCTTATCTATCGCATCAGTTAGACTTTAATTATGTAGGCAGTGCCGGATCTACCGGGCAGGGCAGTAGCACAAGACCGGTGTCTTTGGGTCAAGCCTTGGAGTGGGTAATACGTCTTCAAGAACAAGGAGTGAAACAACGACAAGTTGCTCATTTACGCTCTGTGCTTTCACTCCAGGGAAGACTTACGGCAAATCAGCACAGAGTGAGCAAATTGGTTTCTTTGCATATACTACAGAAAAATGTTCAGGATAATTTTCTTTCGCAATATGAGCATGTTAAATAATTGATAATTATCAATATTTCAGATGATTGCTATCAAGGAGCGTTTGGATGAATTGAACAAACAGTATAAAGAAATGTCAGAAAGCAAGCCGCAAACCCGCGATATTACACAAGAATTTATTCTTCGGTCGAAATTGCGTGATCTTCATAATGCTTGCAAGGTGCGAGATTATACATTAATATTATTTATATTCATCACAATGATGAAAATTTTAAAAATTGAAATTTTTTTTATTTTAGGAATGGGATCAACTTGCAGAACAACAAAAAGAAATCGAAGCGAAGTTGCAGGAACTCGAAGCTTCTCCGCCTAGGTTAGTGGATCATAGTATTACCTTGTTACCTTCTTTCTGAAAATTTTTGTACAACAATTTTATTCTTTTCAGTGATGTATATTTGTCTTCAAAGGATCGGCAAATATTGGACTGGCATTTTGCAAATCTAGAATTTGCTAACGCGACATCATTATCCAATTTGAGCCTCAAACACTGGGATCAGGATGATGACTTCGAGTTCACAGGTAGTCATCTAACAGGTAAGTTCAAGTGTATATTTTAACTTTGTAGTTAGTATACGTGAATTGGCTTAAGGGAAAATCGGATGACTAAAATATTTAACGATTATTAATTTCGAACAGTATTTTATATCATAACATTAACATATTTGATTATTGCAATGGCATATAACTGGCTGTGAATTTTGTGATCGATGTAGTGATTTACTTTAACTCTTTAACTTAGAAGTTAAATCTCTTCTACTTCCAACATATTTTATAGGTGATGTGGTATCTTAGGGATACTCCGGAACTTTTGGCGTCACATTATTTTTTGAATATTTAATTTAAAGTTTTTCAGCTAATATACAAAAGCAAATAATGGGAACGATAAACATTAATTCAAACATGTGTTTAAATCTTTTTTTTAATTTATAAAACATTCGACACATTAAACTATTTGTTTTGTGCGTACAAATTCAGGTATGTGAGCATTTGTGGAAGCAGAGATGAGTAGGGACATTACCAATGGGCCTGTTTTTGGTGGTCTCAATTTTACTTTGGTTTTGGCGCGTCACCTTAGCGGAGAGCGCTCGAAGCAGTTCCACGTTTTTGATTGGTCGAGTGTATATAGTATTACTACGCGTGAGAATCTGGAGCTGTGTTTTGGCGCGTCGATGCGCCATCTGAACGAGACTCTCAAACTAGTTCCACGTTTTTGATTGGTCGAATCAATTCGTGTGTTCCTCGCGATCCACGATTTTAAACCGGGTGACCCTCAAATATGGAGACTTGTATCCACCTTTTTTTTACAGGATATTACATAAACCGTAGTAATAAGGTAGTCAATACCCTAATATCCATATGAAGTTCTGGAATTAATAGAGTAAGGAAATAAAACTTTAAACAAACCCTCGAACGTGGGTAACTACAGAAATATAAGTGTTATGTTGTGTAGGTTCCATAAATAAATACTCGTGCCGTTAAGATTAATAGTATGACTTTATTAATATAATTGCGGGATACCGGAGACCGGACGCGTGTGAGCCCATGAGGCGCTCGGGCTAGATTGCCTTAGTCGGGAGGGGAGGCAGCCACGTGAGTGCGTGAGTAGTGCTGCCAACCCTAGATCGCTAACATATCATCACAATAAGTTTGCTAAATAATGTACCATAATGACTCGTTGGCACATGTGCTTGCTGCTGGGCGAACGTCCGAGAGTTTGGGGTTTGAAACTCACGTCTTACCCTTTTTTTTTTTTTTTTTTAATATCAACTGTGATCATTGGTTCACCTAATTAACTGAAGATTCATGGAATACATATATATATATATATTGTGACGTTACTTTTTCACGCCAGACGGAACGATACCGTTACAAATTACAATCCTCCTTACTTTTCCCCGAGATCTAGGAATTCGGATATTAAATGCTCATGGGCGCCAGGCACACCTTTGTGCCACGAGACTGCATAGGAAGATTCCGAGGGAAAGAAGGAAATTAGCCAAGCCAGCTAGATCGCAACGTGATAGTAGAGGGGCGGGGATCTTATAGATGGTACGCTGAATAAAGATTGAGAACTTCCAATTAAACAGTAACAAAAATAACAATGGGCCCTTTATTTTGGGACTTATAAGAATTAACAATGATAACAAAATAACAAAACGAAATGGTAATTTCGATACCAATAATAAGTAAGCCACGCGATACGGGGTTCCCTAAGGGACGCGTGGGGAAATGACAAAATACGATATTGAACGTTAGCTACCGAGAATTAATCCGTTGCCGATACTGAGTTACGTGTACGAAGGTCGACTCTATCTACGACCTGAGACGTAGATGCTAAACACACGATTCTGGCGAATAACGGAACGGATCGGTTCGAGTGGCGGAATTAACAAGAATAATGAAACATAAAGAATATGGAACATATGGATTCACACAGAATAAATAATATACAATAGTAATCTACGAAACTTTAGCGACAAGAAGAAAGATATTTTCAGATTCCTACAAATGACAATTGTGTGTAGAGAATATCAATATCCTATTTAATACGGTAGGCTCTTCAACAATATGCCTTGTTACTTATGTCTACGTCCTACGAGTCTATCACGGGAAGTGTAATAAACTGATTCTCTACTATTTTCCAGGGTCACCAAGAGTAAGGCGATAGCCGAAATATACAATATACAATAAATTACAATAATTAAGTAGTTCAAGCGGTAGGCACGGAATCTTTTCCTACTGTACGTTACGCCATCTTCTCCTAGGCCGAAACCGGGAGGAAAGTAATAACGAGATACAAGTTCTCAATTAAAAAGTAGTTATACGGAGGGAAGAGATTTCGTCCTCTCGACGACGAGACGCTTACCGTGAACGATACAATATGTCTTCTGTGATACAACTTGTTCAAAACGAAACCACCGGCCAAGACGGCAAACTAGTCGAGAGTCAATATCCTCGGGAGTTCTTCGGAACTCGGGGCCAGCGCTAGCTCCCTCATCCTCGCCGGGCCCTCCTGGGCCAATCATCGACGTCGAAGGTACTCGCCAATTGTAGGCTCTCGCGCTAACTTCAAAACATGCTACTGGATTCAAATACATTTTATAATAATTGTATCGATCATTTCTATCAACTTAACCCTACGAGAAGGACGCGGAACGATATAACGTCTATAACCGGAGCCTCATTGTAAACGATATAATTCTTTACTTTGGAGGACAGTTCCGCTAGTTTATTCTTAATCCTAGTCCTCGCGACGGATCCTGTTCGCTGGACTCGGAACTCTTCGGGATGTCACAACTCGTTGCCGTAGCTAGGGTGTCCGGATACTTCGTCCGGACTCCTGTCGGGACGGATAGGTGGTGGAGGGTAGCGACCCCTCGCACCTGGACAGCTTTCAGAGCCTTCCATCCTCTTCGGTACTGGTGGCGTTCCCTTCGCGGGACGTCCGTATCGGCGGTAATGCGAGATCGGTATGATCCAGTGCGATGTCTTATGCTGTCTCGGCTTCCCACTTGATTCGGGAGCCGTCAGCTGCGGGGTGGAGGCGCCTGGTGACGTAGTGCGTCTCCACGCTCCCTCGCGGGACTGGCGGCGACTTCCTTCGAGCGAGGCTGCGACTGATGGTCTGTCTAGGCGTGGCTGCTCTTTACTCCCTCGGTGCAACGTTGATGGTGGTGGTGGCCAGATACGAAAATGAAATAGTTGTACGGAACAAAAATAATTAATCTTATGTAATTCTAATACGATCTTGGACACTGGAGTTCTTGGCTGGTACTTTTCGCGACTCTCCCGAGGGACGGTAATGCGTCCCGTATTTAAAACACGCTAGTTCTACACTCGGGACCTTGCGACGTGAATTTTAACGTCACAATATATATATAT